AAGAAAGGACTTCCAGTGTGGAACTGGATGGGTAACAGAGTAAAAAACCTCCCTCCTTTGCTCCCTTATTCACCCTTTACCCTTTTCCTTCCTTCCTTCCTTCCTTCCTTCCTTCCTTCCTTCCTTCCTTCCTTCCTTCCTTCTTCTCTTCCCCTCCTCCCTCTCTCTCTCTCCCTCTCTCCTTTCCTTCCTTAGACTGGATCTTCCTAAATTGCCCAGGCTGGCCTCAAATTTGTGATCCTCCAGCCTTAGCTTCCCAAGTACAGATTACAGGTGTGTACCATCACACCAAGTTCTGCTATTAAGGGTTATAAAGAGATAACTTCACTGCTATAATTAGAGTTTTAAAACATTATAATGGGCTGGGGAGATGGCTCAGTGGAATAAGCGCTTCCCTGGCAAGCACAAGGGCCTAAGTTCAATCCCCAGTTCCGCAAAAAAAAATAAATAAATAAAAAATAAAATATTTTTAAAAATACATTTATTTACAAGTCATTGAGCTTGCCTAGAAATATTTTATTATTTATTTATTTATTTATTTATTTTTGTGGTACCGAGGATTGAACTCAGGACCCTGTGCTTGCCAGGCAGGCACTTACTCTACAGAGCTATCTCCCCAGCCCTTTGCCTAGAAATATTAACCTCCCTCAGTTTCCTGAACTATACCTCACCAGACAGCACCATAAATCAATAACTCTTGTCAATTGTGTGGCAGTCTGGCTGCCTGAGGACATGCACATCTGTCGAAAAGGCCAGAAAGCACCTGGTGGGATAAACATCGGAGGCTGCACAACTATCACAGTAAATGAAATACCACTACGAGGCTCCAGAAGCCCCACCTCAAGTCCAGCAAGTGTAATCACCACTGCTGCTTTTCTTTCTTTTTTTTTTATATATATTTTTTAAAATTTATTTTTATTTATGTGTGTGTGTGTGTCCAGCTTAGCCCACCAGGGGGCGGGGCTGGCTGGCATGTGGTGCTGGGAGATCAAACCGCGGTCCCTGTGCTTTGCTAAGCCTGCTCAAAGTAGGTGCTTTAGACCACAGAGCCATCTCACCAGCCCACCAATGCTACTTTTCATTCCTTCTCCTATGCATGCTCACAGGAATCAATCTCAATCCCTCCCTCCCTCCCTCCCTCCAACTGTCAGGCTATTAATGGTTCCATGAGATCTATAAGAAGAAATACAAAAGAGGTGGTATATGTAGTCTGGGAAGAGGAGTAAAGGTGAAGTCCACTTCCATATACCAAGACAGAGCTAATGAATGTAGGTGAATATGGAGAATGGTGAAATGTGCAGCCAACTGGAAAAATACTGCTTTAACACTAAATGAATTTCAAGTACAAATAGCTTGACAGTGTTCCTCTATTACTGAATTAATAACTGACAATCTCAAGGGATCCACAACTTAAATTCTGGGAATACCAAGCAGTGTAGTATTCCCTACGTGCTGGCCTATTCTGGAACAAACTGAAAACAGCTAATTTATTAAGACATTAATGTTTTAGAAGAATAACCATTGTATACGAGGGCAGGGAAAATTCTGCTTTGATAATTTGACAGTTCAAAATGAACATCCCATTTCCCCTAATTCAGTCTTGGTTTCCTTTAGCTAAAGGTTTCCTTTCTTTGCCTCCCCCTTTAGAGACCAAACAGAGGGCTGTTTAGCATGAGCTCACTGATCCAAAATATAACTGGAGCTAAATGAAAAGATCTTTCTCCCTGGCATAACCAATCTTCCAGGTAGCTGTGCACTGCTCCCTGGAGTGAGCTGGACATCTATCTGCTTCACAGATGAGAGAGCATATGTACCAAAAGGACCTGAATGCCATGAGGTGGCAAGGCCCTCTGTGGCTTAGCATCAAGGGGTTCTAAACTTAGACCAGTAGGGTCTGTTACCATTTCTACATCAAAACTGTTAAAAATAAGCAGATCCGGAGAAACACTGACAAAGGAAGCCTCACCAACCACATGAAACAACATGAGAGGTCGGAGAACTCTTCAAGAAGAGCAAGAATCCTTATTAGAACTGTGCCAAGAAAAAGCTGATTCGATATCACAACTCCAAGTGGTCTAAACTGTGACCTCAAGTCTGGATTTTTAGCACACACACATATTCACGGAAGGCCCAATAGTAAGATGTGTGCTCAGATATGCACTTGGGGAATGGCTTGGCCTTTCCTTGCTGTCATCTTCTTGAATCACTCTCTCTTATGGAACAAAAATAATGAGCACTAGAAATTTAAACCAGTAAAGGCACGGTGGCACACACCTGTAACTCCAGCAATCTGGAAGGGTGATTGTAAATTCAAGCCCAGCTGGGAAAATTAGTGACTTACATGACCCTCTCTCAAAATAAAAAATAAAAAGGGGTCAGGGATATTGTTTAGTGCAAAAGACTTGCATTCCAACCTCAGTAGCACCAAAAGAGAAAAAAGAAAAAGCTTGCGTGTTGAGAAAAAGCAAGCATATAAGTAATTTAAGCCATACAGGGTTGGGGTATAGCTCAGTGGCAGCTAGTGTACATGAAGTCCTAGATTAGATCTCCAGCACCACCAAAGAAAGGGAGAGAGGCACACAGGCAAGAAAAAATGGAGGCGAGAGAGAGAGGGAGGGAAGGAAAAAGGGAGGAAAACAAGGCAAAGGAGGGGTAGGGATAGGGAGGGAAGGCTAAAAGGGAGGAAGAAAGGAAGAAAAGAATTGTAAACCAGAAATCCGTCAAGTATTTTGCTACAGACAGCTTTGTTCTTTCCATGACTGTAACAGGAAAAATTGCCATCCAGCTTATAACAGACATTTTAGCTACTTTATAGTTTTGGGTTTTTTTTAAGCAATAGATCACAGTGAACAGGTCATAGCGTAAATTTAGTGGGTTGCTGCCATCATTTTTTTTTTAAATTAAGTCAAAAAAAGAAAATATCAGTGTACATTGCAGGAAGTAAAAGTTACTTCATGAAACTTATTATAGATGTGAGTGTGTGTGTGTGTGTGTGTGTGTGCGTGTGTGTGTGTGTTTATATAGTAGGTACATATACCTCTGTTTTTTAGGTAATTTTATTGTGCATATTTCAAGTTTACAGTATGCAATGGGATATATACAGATAATAAAATGGTTACTATAGTGAAGCTAATCAGTACATCTACCATCTCAGTTTTTCTGTGGTAAGAGCAGCTAAAATCTAGTCTTTAACAAAACTGCCTAACAATTTTATTCACAGTTTGATTTACTGTAGTCCACAATTTGAATTTCTAGATTTTTAGGTTTGTTGGGGCCTAAATACCTACTATTTCGTATCTTTAACCTCTACTTCCCCATTTCCTCCTCCCAAACTCCACCCTCTTCCCTGTCCTCTTAATCACTGTTTTCATTTTTTAAGATCCCACATATTAGTAAGATCATATAGTACTTTTAGTATTTTTTCTTTGTCTGGATAATTTCATTTGACATAATATCCTCCAGGTCAATCCATGTTGTAGCAAATGGCAGTGAATTAAAATTTAAAACCTCCTGAAAACTAAGCAGCTGGTACCTTGAAGGAACTACAGTAAAGCAGTATATAGTACAGTTGTATAGGAATCACATACTGACACACTGTGAAAGAGTTCATGGGTCGACTGACCAGGCCTCAGTCATTAGTCAAGAATTACAGCTGGAATCTCCCAAGAATTCTCCTGGGGCCCAAAGAGTAAGTTCTCAATCTCAACACAGAAAACCTAGCCCTAGCTGAGAGAAAGCAGGGGCTTATTGCACAGCCTCTCTAGCATGTCAAGAGGAAAGAAATAAGAGCTGTGGAAGGAAATGAGACGGCAGCACTCTAGAGTCTCATGGACCACGCCACACCAGAGGGCCCACTCACTGCCTGAGGGACCACTCTCTTAGGAGAGGGGTAGGTAAAGATGTGATAGGGAAGAAGAGAATGCCCTCTCAAGCACTGCCAAACGAGCCCATCCTTCCTGGCATGGCTGCCCAAGGTGATGAACTTTCCATTCTGAGCAGGACCACTCTTTCATTCCTTGTGGTTCCTGACCCAACACAGCTACATCCTTTGCGGATTCCCATTTGGTCTGGTCAGGTGGGCTAAACCTATCCAGCAGCAAAGGGAGCCCCAAAGACAGAGGACTTCATCCTAGGTGGAGACAGAACACCGGACAGTCAACATGATCTCCAAGGAGATGAGGCAGTTCCTGTGCACTCTTTGGGAGTTCACTTCAAGAGAGAAACCAAGATGACGGGGTCACATGTTGCTCCTCACACTGCAACCATGAGCTGCCCATCTCAGTAAATTCATGGCTAGAGCTAGGGCAAAGCCACACAGACTTTCACTTGCTCTCACTTCTAATAAGAACAGTAATTACCCACTGTCTTCCTGTTCTTTCACAAAGGGACAGTTAGAGACAATTCCAGCAACATCCTCCTACTAAGAAATAAAGAGGGAGGGCCAGCCAAATAGCTCAGTGTATTAAAGCACCTGCAAGCAGGTTCAGGGGCCAGGGGTTCAATCTCCAGTCCTGCTGCTGGCCCCACTCTGCCCCCAGGTGCACTGAGATGGTGACTGAGACTGGGCATGGTGGTACATGCCTGTAATCCCAGCTCGTGGAAGGCTGTAAACAGGCAGATCACTATGAGTCTGATCTAGTAGTGAGACCCTGAACACCCTGTAGATCCTTCCCTAAAATAAGGAAAAAAATGAAAAGGTATTTTATTTTAATTACAGCTAGTCTGTCTGTAAAAGCTTGTTAAGATATAGCTGTTACATACTCTTTTTCTCTCAGAACAGCAGACTAAGAGGCGAGGAGACAAGCAAATTACTCAGGGCCTTGAAGCAAGAAGCAGAAGCAGGGATATTGTCTCTTTTCAACTTTTGGGGTTATTTTCCTCTGACTCCAGAGGTTGCTGCTAGAGTTCAGAATAAATATCACCAAACTACTTTTTCATAAAGTCAGAATAAAAGCAAAGCTGGTACAATTACAATTGGTATATGAGCACGAGATTGGTACCTTTAAGAGGGCATGGTGCACTGTCACCTCCAGCTCAGCTAACACATGAGCAGCATCCTTATTGTCCCCTTGGACCTCCAGGTCCTCCTCAGGGATGGTCTCCCAGTTGCCCTGGTGAGCAGCCAGTGTATGCACTAGTTCATACTGTCCAGGGAGCGCCAGGCTGACCCGAGTCTGAGTTCCATAGGTGAAGTGTAGTCGCCGCAGCTTACAGCTGTCTTCAGTGCCCAGCCTGGTGGTCGGAAGCACCTGCACCCCCAGCAGCAGGTTCAACAGCTGGCACTTGACATTACAGTCCTGCCCGAGGATCAGTATGCAGGGGAGGCAGTCCACAGTCTGCTGGAGGTACTTCTCTTCCTTAGGTGGAAAGGAAATGCAGCTCAGCTGGCCTGGTTGGAGGAGGGGAAGATGGGAGAATAGGAGTAGAGACAACAGTGAGGGAGAGTTAGAAAGACTCACACGGAGAGTCCATTAGGACATCCACATCCTAGACCAGTAGTGACAACTTATGGCATGCAGATGGCAGTGGGCCATCTGTTATTGAAAGCTCTAAAAGTCTTCTCATCACTGGCCTATAGGAAGCATTTCCAGAAAACGCTCAGTTAAAGGAAATACATGAAAACAACCAAGTCAAGAAAAAGTTCCCCAAATATCAAACAGAGCTGTTCTCCCAGCTGTCCCCAAGGAACAGTAAGTTACTTGTACCCTGAAAGGTGACAGTGACCTGATCTTCCCTTCCTTCATCTTCCTTTTTCAGTCAGTGGAGGATAGAGTTACAAGGATTCTATCACAAATACAAAAATATCAAAATTACAGTAACTGGGACACAAGCCAAAGAAAAAACACACCTAAATATGTCAAATTTTTTTTTTTATTTTATATATTTGGTACAGGGTTTCACTACACAGTTCAGACTGCTAGTGATCATCCTGTTTCAGCTTCCCCAAACAGATTTAAACAGTACTAAGACCACCAAGACCGGGTCTTAATGGATGGCTCAGCGTGCCCAGGGTAGGACCAGCACAGCATGCAGTACCAGGGATCAAATCCGGGTCCTTGTACTTGCCTAGGCAGGCGCTTAGTCCGCTGAGCCATCTCTATGGCCCTGAATGTGTCAAAATTAAGCCTCCCTTCTGACAGAATACTTAACCTGTGAACATATATGACTCTTTCAAATGTCTCTACTATATGCATTTTTAGCTTATGCTCCTCACTTATGACATATTTTTAATACCTCAGCTGATCTGTACATATGTACATATACTGAAATGAAGAGGTTTGCAAGATTTCATGAGCTCTATCTAGAGTATTTTCAGTTCATCTCTACTTTCTAAAAACCTTGGGTGCTGAGTTAGGATCAAGACTTCCTCATCAAGTCATATTCCTTCCACTTATGGTCAACAAGTCCCTGAGTAAGACAAAGGTCTTTAACTCCTGCTGGGATCAAATCCAGGGAAATCTAGAAAGAGGTATGATCTATCTCAAAAAATATCTTCCCTTCAAAACAACCACCACAACTCTGACTGGCTAGCTTCCCCAAACAGATTTAAACAGTACTGAAGAAAGAGCAAAGTGTCCTAAAATATGACGATCTTTATGTGAAGAAAAGAACTAGAAACTGATGTCCTGAAACTTACAGTTTAAATTCAATCCTTGGGCCAACCAAATAGCTCAGTGGATTAAAGTGCCTGCAAGCAGGCGCAGGGGCCGGGGGTTTGATCCTTGGACCTGCCATGTCCTACTGGCCCTGCCTCCAGGGCGCATTGAGAAGGCAACTGAGACTGGGCATGGTGGCCCGCACCTGTAATCCCAGCTCTTGGGAGGCTGTAAACAGGCAGATCACTATGAGTCTGATCTAGTAGTGAGACCCTGAACACCCTGTAGACTCTTCCCTAAAATATAATAAATAAATTAAATAAATAAATACAATCCTGTCCCACTTCTTCACCACCAGAGTTGCCTCCATCTGAGATTTAGAAAGGCCAATCTTTAAACCAAACACTATATCATAATTGAAGCTTTGGACTATTACTAACTGAAGTAGTGTATGCTTTAGTCACTATACCATAAACCACTTTTATTTTACTCATGCAATTGAAACAAGAGGACTGATTTACTAAAAGGTGGCTCTACTTCAGAATGTACCTGCTACTATCTCAAATCCTCAGGCTTGCTTGTCTTTCACACACACCACCAAAAGGGTTTAAAGAGGTCTGTGTTTCCCTAGGCTTCTCTATGCATTTCAGAAAGTCCCTTGCTTTCATATCTGCCTTTAAGTCCACACAAATCAGACACTGAACCAAAGAAGTCTCCCCAGAAAGAATCCTCTTTGAAAAAGTGAACATATAGTATTCAATGAGTACCTAATTCTCTCTTTACTAAGTACAAAGTACAACACCAAGCTGGGTGTGGTGGTGCACACCTATAATCCTAGCACTATGAGAGACTAAGACAGGAGGATCACAAATTTGAGGCTAGCCTGGGCAACTTAGAAATTTGGAAATACTCTCATCCTAAATAAATAAATAAATAAATGGCTGCAGATGTAGTGGGAGGCCCCTGGGTTCAATCCCCAATATCACTCCCCCAAAGAGTAAAACACCAGGCTTCTGGGCTAATCTCTAACCAACCATCTGAAAGTGTAAGTGCATAGTAGTCTGCATGACCACTTAAAGTATACCAATGGGCTATCCTTTGCACCTTGTTCATAATTATGGACTTAACACAGTTCATTCTCATTATCTATTTATAGTCATTAAAACCCTGAAGAACCATCCTACTGCTGTCTTGACCATCCACTATAATGACTGACACACAGTACATGCTTAAAGTTATACATCTGTTTGTTCTGCGTAAGAATGCACTTACAGTAGAGAATTGTCTACAGAAAGCTATAAGTAAGTCTACAAAGTATTTCAAAAAGCATAGTACAAATGACGAATAGTTCAAGAGGAACTAGTTCAAAATGGAGAGAAGATGTGGACAGACAGCAGGGTCTCCTCCACTCACCTTGCAGAATGCAACCACCTCCTCTCAGCTGGGGCAGTGAGAAGTCCAGCCAGACTTTCACCTACTCCTCCCAGCTTTCCTCTTCTCCCAGTCCTCCCAGATTCTCCATTCACACTGACAACCTTCACAATCCTGTACTAAAAGTTTCATAATTAAAGGGAGGGCAAAGCTAAATGAGCTTTGCTACTGCTACTACAAGAATATGCACAACAGAGAAGAAAAGCAACTGTACCACTTTTCAGGATCAGAAGGAGACGCCAAACCTCTCTGAGACTAAGTTTCAGCAAAGGAAAGTCAATAAAACATGCTGCAGCAGGCTGAAGCATAGTAGACTCACCCATTATTCATCTGACCCAAATTATTACCTTTCCTGCTCCATCTCTGCTACAAAAACAGTTACTACAAATAAACTTGCTACTGTCAAAACAATAAAGACCAGTAGGTAGGAAAGGGAGCTGATATTGAGCCCAGGTCTGTTTCTACACCCCAAAAGCTCCTCATAGAGCCTATTGCCTTAAGAAAGCTCCTCAAGGGCCGGCCAGATAGCTCAGCAGATTAAAGTGCCTGCTTAGGTAGATGCAGAGATGGGGGCTCAATCCCCAGGGTGCAATGAGAGGCAATTGAAACTGAGCCTATAATCCTAGGGCTTGGGAGGCTGTAAAACAGGAAGGATCACTACAAGTCTGTTCTGAATAGTGAGACCCTGTAGACTCTGTACTAAATACATTTTAAAAACGAAAGTAAGCTTCTCAAGATGGTCATTGCTGGGTTTTTTTTTTGTTTTTTTGGGTTTTTTTGTGTGTGATGCTGGGGGTTGAACCCAGGGACTCACAGATACTAGGCAAGTGATCTAGTGTTGGGCTACATCCTCAATCTATGTTTTGTTTTTGTTTTTTGGTGTGTGTGTGTGTGTGTGTGTGTGTGTGTGGTTGCATGGAGATTAAACCCAGGACCTTCACAAGGAGATACATTCTCCAGCCTTTTACTGATTTATTATTTATTTTGAGACAGGGTCTTGTTAAGTTGCCCGGGATGGCCTTGAACTTGTGATCTTCCTGTGTGGGCCTCCCAAGTAGCTGGGATTCCAGGTATAAGCCACCATGTCTGGCTATATGGACTTCCACACATCACTATACAAGCCTTTTGTTTGTCCCACAAATCATTTACATTTTCATTAATCTCCAACATATCTATAAGATTTAGACCAAGACACAAATGTTGCTGAAAGAAGACGGTTTTCCAGCCTGCTCCTCTGGGCACACAGCTAGCTAAGTGACAAGGCATGCAATGTGGCAATGGGAATAGCACTAGAACAAGGGCGGGTGCTGTGACCTCAGGCTTCGCCACTAACTAGCTGTGACCCTGGCAGTCTGCTGCTCTTTCTGGGCTTTGCACTGTTCATCTGTAAACTGAGAGCACTGGATAGTACATACTTGACATCCGTTTCAGCTCTTAAATTCTAGGTTACTATCTGTTTTAACTGTTGAAAGAGTAAGGATGTAAGGGAGACAGCAGGTTATTTTTATTTTACTTTAAAGTATATGTGAAATTAATTATGCAGCCTCCCCCAAGGATTACTACAGATCAAAAAGTTGACTGAACTAGCCAGGGGCTCCGAATGCAGTCCTTTCTGTCTCTAAAGAAGAGATTAAAAGCTGAAGACTGGCAGTAGGAGGGAGGAAGGAAACCTGTTTCCGAGCTGGAGCAGCTGCCTTGCTGACAGTTAAAGGACTTCTGAATTAATCGGGCTTTCTTTGGTAATTAATACAGCAGCATCTGCATATGATCTGCCAGAAGGTAACAGCATGGCTTCTCAGCCGGCGCACGTTAACCCTGCCAACTCTGGCTGCAGGAAGATGCGTATCACTTGTCTTAAGTGGAAACCAAGGCTTTTCTTTTTCATTTTTCTTTCTCTTGGTAGCTGTTATTAAATACAGATTAACTTGACTAGAGTAACTTCTAAATAAAGGTTTCCAGTTAGCAAGAGAAAAGAAGAGCAACTAAAGGAGAACACTGTCTTACTTGCTCTAGATCCCACCTACCGAGCCCCTTCTGTGTACTTACCATTTTATTTGCTTCATCTTACTTAACTGCTCACAATTCAACAGACAAGGTATATCATTATTTTCATTTATAAGATATTTAAAGAAACAGAAGCTTAAAAAAATCCAGGTTGCATCTAAGTAGATGAAAGGCAGAAACAGGAATGTAGGAGCTGTACTTACAACTTGGTGCTACATTAATATTGGACAGTGTCCTTAGCATGAGTTTCTTTCTTTCTTTTTTAAAAAAAAAATATTTTATTTATTTATTTTTTTGGTACAGGGCCTTGCTATGCAACTTAGACTCACAGTGATCCTCCTGTCTCAGCCTCCCCAGT